AGAACAGAGTAGGGACAAAGAGCAGGAGAAGAAGATTAACATTAAACTGGGATGAGAGGTGGGAGGGAAAGGGAGAGAGAAGGGAAATTGCATGGAAATGGAAGGAGACCCTCAGGGTTATACAAAATTACATATAAGAGGAAATAAGGGGAAAATAATACAAGGGGGAGAAATGAATGACAGTAGAGGGGGTAGAGAGAGAAGAGGGGAGGGGAGGGGGGGTAGTAGAGGATAGGAAAGGCAGCAGAACACAACAGACACTAGTATGGCAATATGTAAATCAATGGATGTGTAACTGATGTGATTCTGCAATCTGTATATGGGGTAAAAATGGGAGTTCATAACCCACTTGAATCAAAGTGTGAAATATGATATATCAAGAACTATGTAATGTTTTGAACAACCAACAATAAAAATTAAAAAAAATAAAATAAAATAAAATATGAATTAAAAAAAGAGTATTTAAATTTTTGAGGTACCCAAATTTATCAAAAGCTTTTATCATTACTAGATTTTATGCTTTTTATTAAAAGGACTTCTTGACTTAAAAAAAAAATTGAGAAAGATCATGACCTCTACATTTAATTAAACCTCTTCATTGTCATTAAAAATATTTCCATTATCTTTCCACAAATTGTCAGTATGACAGTTGAATTCAATTTATTCTATTCTTTACTTCTTAATATTAGAACTCATATAATATGTTGATAATTCCCATTTTCTTGTTCCAAACTTTATGCATAAATGAAAGTTTAAAATATCATAATTTATCTTCTTGAAATATCGAGTTGAAGTATGCTACTCAAAGAATATTTATTTTGTCATTTTCCTTTTGTTTCAATTTCAATAAAAAGAATACAGGCAAATGCTTTCAATTTAAGTGGGGTTTTTTTTGGGGGGAGGGGTCAGCTTTGGAAGAAGTAGGAACACAGTAAAAAAGACTTTCTCTTTGGAAAAACAGCTAAAGGCAGAAACAGATCATCACTAACAGAAGAAAAATGGCACAGCAGAGTTGAACTCAAAATATAATTGATTCCACCAGAATAAAAATGGAACAGAACCAAGATATGATAATGAGAATCATTTTGGTGCTAGAGAAGACCCTTTTAACAATGGGCATACAGTCAGATTCTAGTGTGATTATCATAGGCTCATTTTCCTTGTTCATGTTCCCAAGATAAAAGCCTCAAAAGAAGCAATGGCATTTTAAATTGCTCAGCATCACTTGCAATTTTTTTTTTCTCCCTCTTTTTGGTGTTCCCAGGAAAAATTATTTTCCCATGTTACTAGAAGAATGGCTTGTAAAGCAGCAGTGTGAATGTACAAAGAACGACAGCAAGGGCAGCACTGGAGAATGAGGGCACGGACAAAGAAAGGAAAATTACCTGTGGGCATTTGTTCCATGTTCCCCATTCAGACATGACACATTCACTAGGGCACAGGAGGGAACAGGACTGAGTTTCCAGGGGTGTTTCATCATGGTTGCACAGGGTACTGTCCACAGCTCCACCTTCACTATCAGCTGTATTCACACACCTGTTAGGCAAGACCACAAGATAGCTTGATTGCTTAAAAGAGTAGAGCGTCAAAACACTTATGATGTGTCATAGCTACTGACCCTTCAAAGATACTTATATTAAAGAAAAAAGATTAGCAGAAAAGCTAAGCAAAGAAAAACTTTCCTTCCTTAGTCAGTGGTCCTTTATTGAGCAATAACTCAGTGCAGAACTCTTTATTTAGCAGAGCAAAAAAGAAAAATGGAAAGATTACAGAAGATGGTTATCCTTGAAGAACTCCCAGTCTCAAGAGTCCTAGAATATATTTACTCAGGTCTAGCACTGAGGGAATATGCCTTTTACTGTAATGAATCTTGACGGCTTTTCTGAGTAAATCCATCACTTTGTAATAACCAGAGCCTTTGTACTTCCTGTGTATTTCCTAGAAGTTTCCAAATATATTTGCCAAACCTCCCTAATCTTTGTCCCACACATTTAAGGTAATAGGAAAGTAATATGAAAATCAATTGAATATGTTATTCTTTCAGGCATTTTTTACATTTCAGTATGGAATTTTGCTATCACAAAGCAAAGGCCATTATCAAGCACTGTCACACAGCTCAGAAGCACTGAGCATAGATTCGTACCTATACTTGCTTGGCCAACACTATACATCAGGATTTGAGGTATGCCCAGGAACTGATGAGAATCATAATGCTATGGTTATGAATAATGAAGATTCAATCAAAACTAAAGAATTAGATCACTATACACACCTACAAATGGTTTAAGTAAATGTTGAAAATATTAAGATTTGGCAAAAATGTGGAGCAACTGTAATCTTACTCTGCTGGTGGAATGTAAACTGTTTTGAAAACTGGCTAGCAGTAACTACCCTATATAAGCCAACATTAATATAACTCATAATGGTGATGGGGTAGCATGAGGAATGGAGGAACTTTAGGGGAGGGAGAAAAAGGAAGGGGGTCAAGGGGTGGGAATGATGGTGAAATGAGTTAGACATCATTACCCTAAGTACATGTATGAAGACAAGAATGGCGTGAAAATATTTTGTGTACAATCAATGACTTGAAAAATTGTGCTCTATATGTGTAATATGAAATGAATTGCATTCTGACATCATGTATAGCAAATTAGAATAAATAAATAATTTTTTTAAAAAAGAAATACATACAAATTCATATCAAAACAAGAGCAAAAGCTGATGGGAAATGTTTACAGGAGCACTAATCATAATCAACCAAACTTGAAACAACTCAATTGTTCTTAATAATAAAATAAATATATTGTGCTAAATTCATTGGGTTAAATACCAAAGAATAATTAGAATATATAGACTACTGTTATATAAAAGAGCATGAATGGGTGATGCTCATAAATGCAGAATTGGATAAAGAAAGCCAGAAAAAATACACACACACACACACACACACACACACACATTATGATTCCATTTATACAAAGGTAGGAAAAAATAGAGGCAATATTAATGTATTGTGTCACATGTTAGAATAGTGGTTACCCTGGGGGGGAATGATTAATGATTGAGAAGGGCTTAGATGGTCCAGGTAATATTTTGTTTCTTGACATCTAGTCTGGTTACACAGGTGTTTACAGTGAGAATTCATCCAACAAGAACACTCCCCTCCATGATGGAAACATTTCTCTCTGCTTATATCCCATAAGTTTATTTTTTATGGTACTTATTTTTTCATACCCAGAGGCACTTAAACACTGAGCCATATCCCCAGCCCTTTTTTGTATTTTGTTTAGGGACAGGGTCTCAATAATTTGCTTAGGGCCTGGATAAGTTGTTCAGGCTGGCTTTGAAATCATGATCTTTCTATTTCAGCCTATCAAGTCCCTGGGATTACAGGCTTATGCCACTGTGCCCAGTGTCATAACTTGATATAAAAAATATTTTTTTTTCAAAAATATTGAACAGAGGCTATGTGCAAGTCTTCTTTGCTGGGTGTTGAGATACAGTTATTATTTATTAATAATGATATATTTAGTAAATATTTTTGAGGGCATATTATGTTTTACATACCATGCTCTAGCTGAGGGGTTGGGATACAGAAATAAAAACAAAACAAAACAAAACAAAAAAACAGACATGGTCCCTTTCTTTATGGGTGTTTTGCTCTAATAATATTGATAAAGGAGAATATAAATATGACAATGCCCTTAGCTGATCTGGTAAGTTCAGGTATGACAAAGTCATAACTGTGCTGTCCTGAGGAGCTTGGATGCTCCCCAAATCACGGTATACTAATAAATTTTATCCTATGACTTAGAAGCTTCTTTACATTCAAATTAAAAATCAGAAAAGATGACTCGAGAAGTGTGCAGTCTCTTATCAGACAGTGAAAAATACAGATTTATGAGATGTAAGTGATGAAAAATTCGATATTGTATGAAGGAGGTTATCAGAGAGAGGTAGACATGAAATGTAAGTAATGCCTTCTAATGTAGAGAGGCGTGGTACAGTGTCATCTATGGACTTTGTTCTCTCCTGTGGTTGTTGTCAGCAGGGGAAGGAGGGTCCATGGGATGGTTTCGATCTGTCCCTGGACAAACTGAAAAATGCAGAAATTGCTTTCCTTCCTGCCTATGCATACTCAGCTGATGTTCTTTTATTATTTCACTAAGAAAAGAAGAGAGAAGACTTCTGGGTAATGATATCTTATGAATGTATGCATTATTTTCTGTTCACTACCAATATGCCACAAAAGCAATAATAAAGGAATTTGTTACCAAAGCAACAACAACAATAATAATAGTGGGGGATGGAAAGGCATTACCTTACAAGAATGAAAACATGGGAGAGGACAACTGCAAAAATGGATGATAGACAGGCTCATAGTAACTGCCTTAACATACCGAGAAAACTGATTTCTAAGCTTTCAAGCAACAACAATAAAATTACTCCATTCCCACTACAGAACACATAAAAAATTCCGGAATATGTAGCACCAAGTATCTCTAGACATGGGAATGAAAATTAAGCTGAAAAACTGGAGGTTTTATTGAAGTATGTTTTAAGAAGTACCCAGCTCCCCATATCCCCTCCCTTAACCCATGCAGTTGAGTGGTTGCCCCTCCCCCACCCCTGTGGGTAGCTGAAGGTTTGTTATTTGGAGAGGGTCTCAAAAGATTTACAGACTAGAGAACACCATAATGAAAAGAGGAGTTTAAGTAAAAGTTTACATGTCTAAAAAAAAAAAAAATCATCACAATTTGGGGGCTTAAACAATGAAATGTATTTATAATTCTGCAGCATAGACATCCAACATGGGCCTCACTGCACTACATCAATATAGCAGGTGCATCAGAGCTTTGTTTCCAGGGATAAATCTGTTTTCTTGACTTTTGCATCACATCCCTTAGAAGCCCCTTCTTCACCTTTGAAGCCAGCAGCCTTACATCCCTCTGTGACTGGCTTTTGTAGTCACATCTTCCTCACTTCTGCTCTTAAGAACCCTTGCGGGCAAACGGTGCCTCCCCCAGGCAACCCAGAAAAATCTCCCATTTCAAGTTCCTTACCTTAATCACATCTGCCAGGTCCATTTAGCCACTGGTAACCTACTTACAGATTCTAGGATTATGATGTGGATATCTTTGGGGATCATCATTCTATCTGCCACACACCATTTCTTCTTTCATTGGGTTTGCAAATACTGGGTGTTAGAATTATCTATTTTACACATGATAGACTTTTCTGGGGATTCTTTCCTGTCTAAGGGTAAGATGTAAAAGACTGAAATTAAGGATGTTCTCAAAAGGAAAGAGTCCTCCCCTACAGATTCCTTGCCTCTCTCTCCTCGGTCATCATTGCACTTGTATTCAAACTTCAGGGAATTTTCTGTATTTGCTATCAGTGTCACTCTCCCTCCACTCCATTATTACTTCCTGAACACACTTTAATTGTGTTGTTATTGCCACTGAAGATAAACTTCTTATCAAAATCATCAACAGACTCCCCATTGCCAAATTCAGTGGTCAATTCTTAGCTCAGTAAACATCTGAAACAACTGATTACTTTATCTTTCTTGAAAAAATTCTCTGGCTTGTCTTCTCATTTTCTTTGTTTTCCTCCAATTCCCCAGACTCTAAGTTTCATTTGTAGAACCTTTCTCTTTGACTCTTTCTAACCTTGAAAGTGGTAGTTCCTCAGGGCTCAAAATTTTATCAAAATATACTAAATTTATAAGTTAACGACACTCAAATTGATAACCCCACTGTCTCTCTTGAACTGCAACCTGTAATAGCTCAGCCAGTAGGCTAAAGTCACACCAGATCTGGTATATACAAAAGTTGACTTTTGCTTTTTTCTCAAATCCACTTCTAATGTTTCCCAATTCAACAAAATGGCGCCATCTTTCCTACTCTTGCTCAGGCCCTACAAACTAACAATCTTTTTTAATCCTCCCCTCCCCCACCCCTCCTTCTTCTTCTTCAGCAAATCCTATGTTTTAGATCTTCAAGGTGTATTCAAAGTTTGACTTTCTCATCACCTCCACTGCTATTAAAATCCAATCCAAATATCATCATCTCCACTGCTACTAAAATCTAATCCAACTATCAACCCCTCTCACCAGGAATTCTGCAAGGACCCAAATCGATATCCTTGCTTCTAAAATACTGTTTTCAAATTTAAATAAGACAATGTAATTCCCTTCTATCCCAAACCTTCCATAGCTTCATGGAGTCATGCTGCTGTTAGAACAACACCCTGTCTTTACTTTATTTTAGAATATACCACATGCTCTGAATACTGGCACTAGCCATATGGGACATCTTACTATTCTTCCAACAAGCCAAGAAGTTTCCATAGTCCTTCCCCCTAGGATTCTCCTTCTGTACATCTTCACATTCATTCAGGTTTCTCAGTTTATTTGGGTCTATGCTTATATATCATAAAATTGTATCTTTCTAAAACAGTAACCCCCATCATTCCAACTCAGTTTTATTTTTTCTTCTTGACATTTCATAGCAAAGACATCTCATTATATATGAACTTCTGAGCTTAATTTTTCTCTACTGATATATTGTGAGTTCCTTGATGAGATAAACATTTTTTTTATGTTATATGCCTTGAGCAGCATCTAATGTATAGAAAGCAAATGATCCTAAATGTGCTTTGAGTGGTCAAGTGATTGCAATCCAGGACAAACCATAAAGATATTCTTTAGCTCAGAGGTTTTAAGAAAGATATGTTATGGTTTGGATGTGAGATGTCTTCTAAAAGGTCATATGTGAAAAAATGAAAGAAGGTTCAGAGGAGAAATGATTGTGTATGAGAGCCTTAACCCAATCAGTGAATTGATTCCTTGATAGAATTAACTGAGTGGTAACTGAAGGCAGGTAAGGTGTGGCTGGAGGTGGTGGGTCACTGGGGACATGCCTTTGGGGTATATATTTGTTGAGCTGAGCTTAGTCTCTCTCTACTTCTGATCATCATGTGAGTTGCTTTCTTCTGCCACACTCTTCCGCCATGATATTCTGCCTCACCTCCAGCCCTTAAGAATGGATCTGGATTCTATGGATTGTGACCTCTTAAACTGTGAGCCCTGAAATAAACTTTTCCTCCTCTAAAATTGTTCTTGCTGCTCTTTCAGTCACAGCAGCCAAAAAGCTGTCTAAAATAATATATAAACTGTTTTATTAATAGTTTTTATAATAGTTTGGAATGCAAGGTGCCTGGAAGATTAGCTTCACGTATTTAAACGTAACCATGCACATGAAGCATGTTATACAATGATTACATAATATTTTGCTAGGACTGCATAATCAAATACCATATACAGGGTGATATCAAGGGCATAAATTTATTTTCTCCTAATTCTGGAGGTTAAAAGTATGAGTTCAAGGTGTTGGTAAGATTGGTTTCTTCTGAGGCCTCTCTCGTTGGCTTGCAGATGGCCATCTTCTCTCCTGTGTCCTTTTTTTTTTTTTTTTTTTTGGTACCAGGGATGAAACACAGAGGTGATTAACCACTGAGCCACATACCCAGACCTTTTTTATGTTTAATTTTAGAGCAGGATCTCGGTCAGATACTTAGGGCCTTGATAAGTTGCTGAAGCTGGCTTTGAACTTGCAATTCTCTTGCCTCAGCCTCCTGAACTTCTGGGATTGCAGGTATGCACCACTGTGCCTGGCTCTTGTGTTTTCATGTGGTCTTTTTTCTGTATGTATCTGTGTCCTAGTCTCCCCTTATAAGGACACCAGTCAGATTGGTTTAGGACCGGAGCCTAGGACTTCATTACCTTAACTATCTCTTCATCTCCAAACATAGTCACCTTATAAGATAAGAGATTAGAGCCCTGACTCATGAATTTGGTGGGGGAATCATTAACCCATTTCAGAACTCATATTTGGTTGTGTGTATGTGTTTTGTTTTTTTTTTGTTGTTGTTGTTGTTTTTTTTGTTTGTTTATTTTGTTTTTTAAATCAGGCTCCAGAGGTTTGAGCTGAGCAGTATGGCTGAAAGACCCTCCTGTGTATTTTTTTCAACCTGATTGCAATTCTGCCAGTACTAATTTGTTTTCTTAAAGTATTCTGTCTCTCTTGAGATTTTCTTTTAATATTGCTAAGAAGTGGGAACGGAACAAGAGTAAGAGATGCCACATCTCATTTGCATATTACTGTATCAACTGGGTTGGCCAGTCTTTCTTCAAAACCATGTGAGAATAAGACATAGGAGGAGATTTTTGAACAGAAAACGGTAAAAGCACAAAGTTTGTGAAAACCTAAGCACATGATTTCTAGGAGAAAGAGCAACAGACAGAAGGAAAGAAAGGGACTTCGTCTACTAGCCATTTTCTTGGGTTGGTGATAAGAAGCACCTTAATAATTTTGCCTTCAGTTAGACTACATGCCTACCAGTGATTTCACAACTTAAAGAAGGTCAAAGGTATGTGCTGCTCACAGTGGCACACACCTGTACTCCCAGCTACTGTGGGATCCAAGGCAGGAGGATCACAAGGTCAAGGGAGTCTGGGTAACTCAACAAGACCACTTCTGTTTTAGTCAGCTTTTTTGTTCCTGTGATTAAAAGACCTGACCAGAACAATTGTAGAGGAAGAAAAGTTTATTTGGGGGGCTCATGGTTCCAGAGGATTCAGTCTTCAGAAGACTGACTCCATTCCTTGGGGCTCAGGGTGAGGCAGAACACTATGGCAAGGGGTTGCACGTGATGATCAGGAAGTTGAAGACTTCACTCGCCAGATACAAAATACCTACACCAACACAACCCCCAATGCCCACCTCCTCCAGCCACATCCTTCCTGCCTTCAGTTATCACTCAGTTAATCTCCATCAGAGTATTAATTTACTGATTACTTTAAGGCTTTCATAATCCAATCATTTCTCCTCTAACATTCTTGCCTTGTTTCACACATGAGTTTTGGGGCACACTTCACATCCAAACCATAACACTATCTCAGAATAAAAATAGAATTATGGAGGTGTAGCTTAGTGGTAGTGCACCCTGGATTCAATTCCCAGTACCAGACCCAAGAAAAGGTGGTTATATACTGAATTACTGAATAAAGTTTCACTAATGTTGAATAATGGTCAACACACTCAAGCTCTGCTTTGACAACTGATTTTCATCTAACAGTTAACTCAACAGCCAGCTGATTTAGGCACTTTCTGCCAATTTAAAATGGCATTTCATAATTCTGGCAAAAATACTATTCGTATACAACTAAATAGTTGACTATACTATGTTTTCTTTATTTTACATAATAATTATTGTGTATAAATATTTTAAATTTTGATTGTAAGGTCTTTTATGTTTATTGCCATTATCCTTATTGGATAAAGAAATGATTCTTTATTCTTTCAAGTCATTTATAAACAAACCAACTTGACAAACTCATATCAAGTGTACCCTTTGGTTACCACTGCTGTATTTACAAAACAAAACCTTTAAGCAAGATCTCTCAGCACAGCATTTCCAAATTCCCTTAGAGATGTGCTCTTTTTATATTAAAATCCACAGCTACTATTCATAGGTATGTCATATTTTAGTTTCCAAAGCTAATTGTGGAGTTTTAAATTGACTTTTTCAATCTATAGGCATCCCAAAGTAGTAAACATCCATCAACTACACTAATGATAGTGTGGAGAGAGATAGAGAGAGAAACAGACACAGAGAGAGTGAGTTAAAATATCCTAATCTGTCATCACTGGTGGCCAAGCATCAGTGGAGTGATACCAGCTTAATCCATGCGCTGGCTTTCCTACCAGTTGAAATGCAGGAAACACTACTGGGGCTGCATTGCAGAGGAAATCTCATTAAAACAGGGCTGGTTAAAATACATATGCTTCCAAGGATGCCACGAAGATGAGCAAAAGCCAGAGTACATGGTGATAAAAAGCAAGTATAGTTGGATAGGGAACACTGTTGTTTTTATTTTTTTTTAAATGTAAGTTCCGATGTTCCCACCTCCCAAATCTCTCCGTTTTCACACACCTGATTTTCCTAGTTTGTGTTCCTCTTCCACAACGCGGAGACCTCAGCTCATTATTGATTTTGCATGGAGACCAGTTTTCTACAACCCAGGAATACTGATTGCACTCACTGTAACACGGGACTGCCTCATGCACCTGTCAAGAACAGGAAAGAATAAAAAAAAAATTATGTGGAACTCTCTAAGTTATAGAAAAATCACTTATCTGTTAGTAATACCTGCTGAATATAACCCAAGAAATAACACTCTGGCCCAGACTGCCAAATTACATTCCTTGGAAGATGTGGTTGACTTATCTGAATTTACTGACTTGCCTGAAGAAGCATACAGGGGAATGCTTCAACTAAAATATGATCTATGCCTTCACAGAAGAGAACAAAGGACAGGAATTTCTTAGCACCATGAATAGAAATTCCATTATCATTTCCTCAAAGAGCTCACATGGTATCTGTGAGATGGTCCAACTCTCAACTACATGGCATATTGTATTCTCAGATGTACTTTTGCATGTCAATTGAAACAATTATGTATTAAGAAATTTCCTGCTGAATATAAGCATTCCTAAGAATGCATAAGGAAAGTGGTATTATTTGCACTGGAAATTTCTTCTTATGCCTTCAAACAATCAATGCTAACAGGCAATCATTTAGCCTCTTGGGCACTGTGGCTTCATATGAATGAAGTTGTTTGTAGGATGTTTTCATAGCATAGCTAACACACACACACACACACCCCACACCTCACAAGACAGTTACTGCCAGACTGTTAGTGGTTCCTTGTGATTACTGACTATCAACATTTATAATTTTATGGTGAAAACAATGAGTAAATTTAATAAATTCTTAGGTAATTTCTTTTGCATTTGTTTGTGGGATTTTTTTTTCCCCTGAAATGGCATTTGAATGGGCAGCCAGTTCAGTGGGTCAGTCTTTTTGAAGCTGCATTTATCAGTCATGTCTTCTCAATATGGAACAGAACCTTCTCTGTAAGTAAGAGAAGTAAGGAAAAGAAGGCTGCTTCATAGCATGATTCCACCCAGAAGTCTCCAAAGATGGCGCTAGTACAGGTGTACTGGAAAAGAACGAACGGCTCACCAATTACCAATACGATTAATTAATGCTCTTCCTTTTAAATAAGAATTTAATAGCTGTCCTTCCCTCCTTTTGCCTTCCTAATTCCATAAAAGTGTGAATGATGACTAGAAAGTGCTTTCCAAACACAACCACTGGTTGTATGTTCCCACTAAAATCGAGGGCGAGCACTCTGTAATGGGATAATCAGAAAACAAGATTGGGGCTCTGTCAGCACGTTAGCTAGAAATCAAATGAGAAAAGGTGATTTGTGAGACTATTTCTTGGGAATCACAAATAACGTCGGAAACTATTTTTAACCATGGGGTTCTATTTGGCTCTCTCCCGCACAGCTCCCAGGGAAAAGAGAAACCACAAGGTAAAGGATATGTGAGGGCAAAATCAAAGGAGATGGGAAAAGAGAAGTGGAAATGGGCGTGAGGAAAGTAAAGAATTAAGTAATAAATGGATTGCATCTCATGCTGTGAATGCGGACAGGAGGGGAATGAAAGGGTCAGGAGAGGCTCCAATATGAATAAGGAGGTGAGAGTTTGTAACTGCCCTCCAAAACTCATAGGGTAGTAAAGAAGAAAAAAAAATCTACAAAAATGAAAATGCATGACCCCAACACAACAGATCCTAGGAAACAGAGCTAGCAGTAGAAGGTGGAAAGCTGGCCTGATTGAACCATGTACATGAAGCTTTCATTGACTTTATGGGTTGTTTCTATAATCTTCAATAAATATCAATGTAAATTAATTTAAACAAAGCATTTTGGCTTTCATATGAAATATAAGAAAGTACCTCCACCAAAAAAAAACCCTTTTTACAAATAATAGACTAAAAATTTATTTAAAAAGCATTTCCCCTACATTTCACTCATGAACCTAAGAACAAATGGATGGCTATCCTCTTTGACATGGATGTATTTTTTCTAAAGCTATCAATAGAAGGTAGAGCGTTTATGTCCCCTTCTCTTTCATATGAAACCCAAGGTCAGAATGAGAAGGAAAACCTGTCAAGTTTCATGTTCCTTTGGTCTAAGCATTTGATTCCTTATTCATGTATTAGCTAACTGCTTTAACTCTGTATGCTCCCATGCTTCCCCCTGTGGCAGTGTAGCTAACCACAAGGACAGGCTATTGGAAGACAGGACAGGTCTTTGTAGGAAGATATTAAGCTACTTTTCTTAACTGTGAAAACAGTATTTCTTAAAAAAAAGATTTCCCATCCACATGGAATTACTTGATCGTTGCCCCTTATGTTTTATATTTTTTGGTACCGGGGATGAAATCCAGGTCCTTGCAAATGCTAGGCAAGTGCTCTACCACTGAGCTATAGTCCCAGCCCATCTGCTATTTAAAAATGTCTTCATGCTATTCATTCTACCTAACAAATCTTTGCTCTTCTTTCAAAGCCCAAGTAAATCCTTCCACCTCCATAGTTCAGGGTTGGCATGCTTTGGGCTGAGTCGTGTGTGGTGGTTAGGGCCCAGCAGTGCTGCTAGGAGAACAAACATGTTTGAAAGTCATCACCTTGACTCCTTCTCTGTGTTTCTTTTCCTCTCACTACTTTTTTCTTTTCCTCACCTTAGTCCTAAATACACGTATGGCCACTTTGGACTTTAAATACTGCTCACAGAAATGCAATTTGTACTCTATATACCTGCACAGGCCTGTAGTCCTGTGTGTCTCCTGGGGAAAAGAAAAATAATAACTAGTGAGTCTCAGGCAGGGAGGGGTTATGTATTCGTGAAGTCTATATTTTCCAAGACATGGGGTGAATGGAGGTGTCTAATCAGTATTTATTGAGTTGAAACCACTTTTTGAAGAGTCCCAGGCTGTAAGTAGCCTTCATTTAATTCTCTAGAGAAAACAGGCCCAAAGAGGCGCTTAATGCACAAAGCACAGTAAGAAGGAACACAAATGGAAATGTTGTCTTTCTGTAATGTAACTTGGGTGAAGAATAGCTATCACTCTGTCACTAAAAAGTGCAGCTTCACAATTCTGTAGAAAGGAAAGGCTGGCCTGGGAGAATTGCAAGAACTGGCTCCTTAAAACTCCAGTCTACTGGGCAAGGACTCTTACCTGGAGGACCAAAAACACTCACAAAAGGCAAGAATGAAACAGGGCATTCAAGGATAGAAATTTACTACCTAGGTGCCTGATTTCTTCTCCTAAGTCTTTAATGTTCTAGTTATTGCATATTGTCCTTTACTTGGTGTTTATATATTACTGTAGTTTTATAATGAGAATGTGTTACAGCATGGACTTTATCAGGGAATCATAAGAAAATGTTCTGAAGGAGAGAAATGAGTCATGATAAAATTAAATGAAAATCACAAATTAGAAGGAAAATAACAGGGTTTTTTAGATACTAAAAAAAAAAAAGAAAGAAAGAAAGAAAATGCCAGGGAAAAATCTAAATCCTATTAATGCAATTGAAACTAAAAAAACAATTTGAAAAATTGACAAAACAATAAAGCTGGTTCTTTGAAAAAATAAATAAAATTGACAAACTCTTAGCCACTCTAATGAAAATAAGGAGGGAGGAAATTCAAATTACTAAAATTTGTTATGAAAAAGGAAATATCATGACAGACACTATTGAAATACAGAAGAAAATTAGAAACAATTTTGAAAATTTATATTTCAGGAAAATAGAAAACCTCAAGGCACTGACAAATTCCTAGAGGCATACGATCAACACAAACTGACTCAAGAGGACATACAAAATTTAAACAGATAAATTTCAAGGAAGGAAATAGAAAATACCATCAAAAGCCTACCAACCATGAAAAGTCCAGGACCAGACGAATTCACAGTTTAGTTCTATAAGACTTACAAAGAAGAATTAATACCAATACTTCTCATATTATTCCATGAAATAGAAAAGGAAGAAAGCCTTCCAAATTTATTCTATAAAGCTAGTATCATCCTGATACCAAAACCAAGGCAGAGACACATCAAAGAAAATGTCAGACCAATATCCCTGATGAACATTGATGCAAAAATTCTCAATAAAATTCTGGAAAATTGAATACAAAAACATATTTAAAAAATAGTGCACCCTGATCAAGTGGGCTTCATTTTAGAGATGCAAGGTTGGTTCAACATACGGAAATCAATAAATATAATTCATCACATCAATAGATTTAAAGATAAGAACAATATGATTAAATCAATCGATGCAGAGAAAGCATTTGACAAAATAAAGCAGACTTTTATGCTTAAAACACACACAAAAAAACTAGGGATAGTAGAAACATACCTCAACATTGTAAAAACTATCTATGCAAAACTCAAGGTCAACATCATTCTAAATGGAGAAAAATTGGAAGCATTCCCTCTAAAAACTGGAACAAGACAGGGATGTTCTCATTTGCCACTTCTATTCAACATAGTCCTTAAAACGCTAGGCAATACAATTAGACAGACATAGGAAATTAAAGGAATACAAATAGGAAAAAAAGAACTCAAACTACCATTATTTGCTGACAACATGATTCCATACTTAGATGATCCAAAAACTCCACCAGAAAATTTCTAGAATTAACGAATTCAGCAAAGTAGCAAGATATAAAATCAATACCCATAAATCAAAGGCATATCTGTACATCAGTGGTGAATCCCCTGAAAGAGAAATTAGGAAAACTACCCATTCACAGTAGCCTCAAAAAAAAAAAAATCAAATACTTGGGAATCAACTTAAACAAAACAGGTAAAAAAGACCTCTACAATGAAAACTATAGGACACTAAAGAAAGAAATTAAAGAAGACCTCAGAAGTTGGAAAGATCTCCCATGCTTCTTGGATAGGCAAAATTAATACTGTCAAAATGGCCATACTACTCAATGTGCTATGCAGATTCAATGCAATTCCAATTAAAATCCTAACGTCATTCCTTATAGAAATAGAAAAAGTAATCATGAAATTCATTTAGAAAAAACAAGAGACTCAGAATAGCCAAAGTGATCCTCATCAGGAAGAGAGAAGCAGGAGGCATCACAATACCAGGCCTCAAACTATACTACAAAGCTATAGTAACAAAAATGACATGGTATTGG